TTTCGCTTTGTTAATTGATCATCCCAAAAATTAAGGTTTATTATTATTCAACTTAATCATTTCTTAAATCACCACCTTTTCCTTTCAGTTTATTTAGTATTTGTAAAGCAAAAAATAAATAAAATATAAATTGTTTAATCAAGGAAAAAAAAAATTTTTTTTTTTAAAACCGTTTATAAAATAAATGAAATACTTATAAATAATTTTGTTATTGCGTTATTAACAAATTTTTTTGGGTGACAAGCAAAAAATTTCCAGAATGCTATCAGGTTACACCGATTATATAAATTACTTTGGAAATTTTTTTTTTGTCTTTCTAAAATATTCTCTTTTACCCACGTATCCAACTTTCAAGCCTTCGAACATCACTTTTTTGCTTTTTTTGAATTTCTTTTAACTCTTCGTATTTCGAGTGTTACCTTTTTAAGTGAACGAGTATAAATCGTGGCATTAAGATGAACAACAACAATGATAAAAAAGTGTCCGCTTTTGACGGTTATTAAGTAAGTTTTCATTTAATTTCATACTGAAAGTTTAATACCAAACGGTATATTATGAGTCTAGAAGAATAGGGATTATCCTCTTGACTTGCTTGTAAAATTCTCCGTGTCCATTTTTTCAATTTGAAATAAAATGTACTCTACTTATGATATACTCGTAACTTTCATTACGTTTCATTTCATGCGGAAATATTTGGTTTATTTTAATTTTATCTAACTAATTTCTTTATTTTTTTTTTTTTAAAAAAAAAAAGGTTTAGAATCATTAATTTATGTCATAAGAAACTAGATTTGATAATGGTCTTGTTTCCTCTAAAGTTATTGATCGTTCAATTAATGGCTGGCAGCATACGTCACTATAAATATTGATACAATGTATTAAAGATGTTTCTGAAAAGTTCATCATTTAGTAAGACCACACTTAACCAAGGCGAAAAGAGTGATGTTTACAGTGTTGGTCCTTTATGGGAGATATCAGATGGTCGTGCTCTTTTTTTATTGAAGGCGAGAAATAAGATGTTAATTTAGTTGAGAAAATCCTACTGAAAATTATCGTCGCTGTTTTATATAGGAATTTTATTAGATTAGTATTCGTATATCAATTGTAAAAAACTATGGAATGCCATCTTTTGAATCACAAATTTTCTAGTATAAGTATTATTATATAAGCAGATAGAGTCGGGTGGCTGGAACAATAATCGTGAATTACATGTCAATAATTTCATGAACATACATGATAGAGTCTTGAATATGCTACAAAATGATGAAATTTCACAAGGCTCGGCGCGAGAGGATCAAGAAGCTCACGTGTTTGAAGTGGTGGATAGAAAATAACCTTAGTCTTAATGTTATAAATTAACTTTTGATAGTTTCAAGTTTATGATTATACTATTTGTCTATAATAAGTACTTTTAGTTAAATTTACAATAAACTCAATAATGTAAAATTAATATTCCAGATTTAAAATTAAGATTTTGTCTAGGTTTCGATTTTCCTTATCAAGTTTGAGTCTGGGTTAGCGTTGATTTTGCCAATAATAATAATAATATTTTCATATTTTTATGTCCATAGGTCATATTGAAGATATCATCAATTGGAATAATCATTAAAGTCGCTGATTGTATTGACACCGAAGCTTATAGGTGTAGAAGAGTTCATACCAGGCTGATCAAAACAGAATGGTCAAGACCGAATTTTATGAAGAGACGAAGATCGTATGTTCGTTCTGTCTTGATGGATTTCGTTGAGTGTTGGCTAATTAATCTTTCAGAGCAAGATACCCGAGAAGCACTTTTATTTAATTTCAATAGTAAAGGCCAGAAATAATAATTCACAAATAGAAATAATTCAGGTTGAAGTTGTCATTTAATAAATTGACAATCGGCAAATTTTTATTAATTTATATTAAATATATTATAAACGTTTTTTAACATTATGGAAACTTTATTTATTATAAATTTTTGTTTAATACATTAATTATAATTATAATTTTTATACGAAGATGACATTACAACTCATGACAAGACCAACGAAT